CCCCAAAACCCCAAAACCCCAAAACCCCGGCCGATAAGTTTAGAGAAATATTCAAATTTATGAAATTAAGAATAGAAATATACCATATCATTTTCCTTTATAGTTAGAATAGTCATCATATTTTCTTGATCTTAAAAAGCTTGATTTCAGCATCTTTAGAAACCGTGATTATACTGCTGTTTATAGATATTACTCCAGTCATTTTCTCCTTATGCAGAGTATTAATCTCAATACAGCAATTAGGAGAGTCATATTCCTCCTCATCTTCTGTTGCTTTAGTCATCTGATTAAGCTTTTGCCTTGTCTTATCTTTCTCCTCTTCTCCTCCTTCGAAGAATTATTGGCTTTATTATGATTCATCATCATCACCTCTTTTTTTCCTGTTAGATTTATCATTTTCAGAGTAATATTCACTCTAATCTTCTCCTTCTTCATCATATTCATCATCGAGGTCCTCATCATCCTTATCTCTGCTATCAAGAAGTTCACTCTCATCATTATCATAGTTCCTATCAGTGTATTGATGCCTATAAGTATTATCTTATGTCCTCTAAGTTTAACCTCCGCCTCTGCTTCTTCTAGATCTTTTATCATCCTCATCAAAATAATTTCTATTTTATTTGATCTCCTCAGCTTGGTCCTGTCTAGTCTATTTTTTAAAAAGCTTTTAGTCTAAGACTTCTGGAATCTACCATACTCTCACAGTGCCGTCATCGCTGCACGACACTATAAACTCTTCTTTTACTTTAGAATGATCTATCTGTAATGTGGTATCTATTGCAAGTGATCTCACTCTCTTTATATGACCTTTCAATATCAGCTTCTTATTTTAGGGCTAATTGTTTTACACTGCTGCTTTTTTATCTTTTGCTAGGGCTTAGGAATTATTAGCTTCGTCCATTTGGAATATTTCAATATTTGCTCCAACTCCCACTGCTAATCTGCAACCACTTAATTCTAGAAAGCATGTGGGGCCATGAGTAAAATCAAATGTCTATAGGACTTAGTGGTTCCAGTTTTTCCAAGTCTTAGAGCTAAAGCATGAAGATTAAGTGTTCTTTCTGTAGATTAATTTAATCATATTGATTTTATGAATGGAGGTCAACGAACTCAATACAACAGTTGAATAAGTATAATTCATTGTGCCATCTGCTGTCTTTAAGTTAGGTAACTTTCTAAACCTATCTATCTCAAGGAGTCTTTTGTTACTTTCATAGTTATCCAGAGAAGAATAACTCTGATCAAATTTATATGTGATTGCTTAGCTAACAGTTTGATCCTTAAAAGCAATTTTCTTTGTATCAATGAGTTTAATTTCGTTGATTTTATCTTGTATCAGCATATACTTCCCTTTTTTGAATTCTTTCAAATTTATCATCGAAATAATATCACTTTAAGTGCATTTTCCAATAATGCTTTGATTGTTATCTTGATTTTAAACCAATAATTCACCACCTGAAAGGCCTCCCAGAAGAACTTTATGACTCATTGAATGTCCAAAACAGAGTAATTCTACATCATCCTCATCTGGATTAAGATTCAAATCAATCTCTGATAATTTTTATTAGTTAATGTTCCATTCATTTATGATACCATGACTGTCAGCTGTCATGAAGGTATCCATTCCTGTAACTGTTATGTCTTTAATTGGGGCAGAATGAGAAGGGAAATTGATTTCATTTTCCACAATCATGTTTTGAGTTTCGGGAAGATTATCCACATTCATTTGCTCGAAGTTGGCAAAAGTATCTTTTTCTTTTAAAATTTAAGGTATTTTAGTATCTGCTATGATTCTTAGGATTGAATCCTTAAGATTTTATTTGACTTGTGACATACTTTTATTCATTTAGATGGTATGATCTACTCTCTAATTCTCAATCTTCTTCAATTTCTTAATGGCCTCATCAACTTCTTTGATTTTCTGATCAATTTCAGGTCTCATTCTTAGAGCTATATATTTTTCCTGACTAGTTTTAATTGTGACTCGAGTACTGTCAAACCACTTAGGAGTATGCTTTAAAGTATGATAGCCCTTGAATATGTCCTTAAACATTACACTTTTAAGAATCTCTCTTGTCACTTGAGTCACATATGAGTTTACTGTGGACTGAAATTATTTAAGGAATGATCTGATTTCATAGATCTTATATTACTGATATTTATTTAAAAGTTTCTTGCACTCCATTGATTTCTCCTATAACTTTGTAGGATAAGTTTTTAAATAGTCTTTGAGGAAAAACTTGTTATGGTCAAGACCATGATGCTTGGCTGTGCACTATTTGCATAAAGGTTAAGAGCAAGACTCGCAATACATTATGTAATCCATGGAATGTGTCAGACATCTATCTGTAAATGGAGTAAATATTTTAGCTTTTGAGTTCTTTCACTTTGTCTTGCCATTATCCTCATTATTGCCCGATTTTTTTTCCTCTTCCTTCCCTTGATTTTTATTTTCCTCTTTTGTCTAATCTTACTTATTATCTTATGTCTGTTAAGTCTGCTATGGATTTTTCTTTTACTTTTTAGCTAATCTTTCCTCCTCCTAAAGCCTTCATTCCTCTTGTCTTTTTTCTTTTTCCATTTATCGTTATTGATCTCTTAATAGTTTTTCTTCCTATCTCTAAGCATCTCTTTCCATTTTTTCTTAGAGTCTCTTATCCTCTTTGATTTTTTTTTGGAGTTCAAGTTCGTCTTTCAATCTTTAATTTGTCTCTTTATCGACCATCTTTAAAACTTTCCTTGTACTCATTTTAATAATTGCTTTTTATAAATTATAATTTCAATTTTTATTTTGAATATACTTTATTTTTATATTTCCTAGAATTAATATTAAATTTATATGATGGGGTTTTGGGGTTTTGGGG